TCATCCCCACAAGTACTTTTTTATTTGTGCAGTGGTCACCACAATTAATCCCACTGAATGAGAAGAAAATGCACCTAACCAGTTACTATCTCTATGGATCTGCTTATTCTGGGCTTCATATACAGAAAAGCATATCAAACAAAACACAATCATACAGAGCAAGCAACAAACAAAACCAACAACAATGACTAGATAAAACACAGAAAAACCTCAATCAAAGAGAAACAGAAAATATTAAAAACTGAAGAACATTAAAATGGGTCCAAAGAAAAATCAAATGATAAGGTATTACATTTTAATCTAACTACATGTGCCATAATCTGCACAATGCTCCCTGTCTGATGACAAGGTTATTCACATCATACGACTAGTGTCAGAGGGGATTCACCGGAGACTTAATCCCCGTGGGGACCCTGCCAATGGATTTGGACTTGCACTGCCCTCCAGAGCCATCTGTGAACCAGGGATTCACTATTTAAACTCTAATTCATTCCTCCCTTCAGGTTTGGGTTTTGATGTTTACAATCCTTAGGTTAACAGGCTGGTGTGCTTCTTTTATATGAATTGGGCTGTGATCCACATGGTCTGCAGTTCAAAACCACCCGCGGCTCTGCGGGAAAAAGACTGGGCTTTCCACTCCGGTAAACAGTTAAAAGTCGTAGGGGTCATTATGAGTCAACATTGACTCAATGGCCATGAGCGTTTTAAGACACCTATGCAGGAAGTAGTCTGTGTAGCAAACAGTTGTGGGGCATATTAGGATTGACTGACCACCACGTGGGCTCCCTACGTGGTGCAAACAGATGCATACTTGACTAATGAGCCTTATGAGGTATCGGCACTCATATAAGGTAGGCAGACAATTGGGCTTTAATTCGAAATACAAGTAAGTAGGATACAACTTTATTTTTTATTAGTGAGAGAAACATTCTTTGGTGGCTTGGCGCTGTTATTGGTTGTTCCTCATAGCAAAGAATAATCCGAGGGAATGCGTTGGGCCTGGCGCTGCTACCATTTCTCTCTTCTGTAACTCTTTCCCAGGCTTCCTGGGAATGTTTATTTCGACTCTTGGAACCACTGTATAATTTCACTGCATTCTGTATACTCTTGTTAAGGGACAGTTGTGTCACTGTGTCACCTACATGTATCTCCCATAGTGGGTAGCAGTGCCTCCAAAAGTTCATGGAGTTAAAGATAATGGAATTTCCCCACAAACTTTTTGAATCCCCTTGCATTTTATTTGCTCATGAAGCAAATATTTGAGTGCCGACCATGTGTCTGACCCCTCTTCTAGACCCTAGTTATACATCAGTTAACAACGAAGTAAATAAAATTAATAACAAAGTCCCTGTCCTGTGGTGTTTATATTCTAGTGCATACAGGAAGTACAATATTAAATTCTTACTGCATTGAGTGGGACAAAAGTACATTTTGATCTATTTTAAAATCTTGCACAGATGAAGCTGCAGAATTAAGGCAGTAATTCATGGATGTGCTGCCCTGCTTTGCATCAATCATTGCCAAGGAGGGAAGCACATCCATCGACATACGAGCTTTAATTTCTCCATTTTAATGTGTGAGAGATTTACAGTATGACATAGCTCATTTAATAGTCTCAGTATAAGTAGCATTTCATTTATATATTCATTTAAACATATTTGCCTTCAATTTAATAGATAGACTATAAATGCAAGAGACTTGGTAATAGCATTTTTTAATACTTTTAGCATCACAATTGAATTGCATTTTGAAGGGTCTAGGAGAAAGGAAACTACCCAGCCAGCATGGCCAGACTCAGTATTTCTCCACCCCCAGAATGCATATCAAGCTTTCAAAGGCTTGATAAGGAATACAGGAGATTCTCAGGAATTTCCATGAGGGCAGCAAGAGGTTCTTGGAATTATAGTCCCCAGGCCCAGATGCAGTCATGGGCTCTGCACAGGCTCTGTTTAAATCTCCACCTCTGCCCCTCACCCTGCCTCGTTTCTTGAAGACGTTCATACACATAATTCTGTATGGGATCTGGGCAGAGGTCTCTCCTTCTATGGCTGCTTCCTGCATGTCGGGCAAAGGGTATCATCACCTGTCTATATAAACAGAACACTCTCCTAATCTAGTCTCCTTTAAGAGGAGCAGGCTCGTTCAGGTGGAGATGCTTGACTTGAGGCTGTGAGTCACTTACAGGCGTAGACCTGTGCACGGTCTGCGGTCTAGGACAGGGGTGCTCACACCTTTTCAGCACACGAGCTACTTATAAAATGATCTACCAACTACAAAAATGCAAAATATATGTTTATTTTTATTTATTTATTCATTACATTTATTCATAAACGCACTGAAAATTCTTTATATGTACAATGATGTTTATGTACCTTGCATAACCGCATGAGTCCATATTGCACAACACAACACAACACCATTCACTATGTACATTTTTTGTCGTTACTTGAGTTTACTCTGATGACTTGCACTGAATGGAATGAGCCCGGGATGCATAGTCCGGACAGTAGCTGCTGACAGCCAGCCTCAAGCATACTTCCAAATGATCATGGTGGAACGGTACTGACTTCATGATCTTTATGTGGGAAAAGGCTGACTCACATAAATAAGTAGAGCCAAATAATGCATTCAAGGAGGTAGCACATGTTCTCATGTTTGGGCACTTTCCCTTTGTAAGTTCCTTCCAGAATTATTCATGTGCTCTGGACTTCAGCTGAATGTAGGCTTGTAGTATAAAGATCTCCCATTCCTTATGAAAGTGATACGTTTTTGTCTTCTTACTTGGTCCAGCTCCCCCACTCATTGTAATAGCCTTTCTTACGTTTAAGAGAAAAAAAGAACAATCTCTAAAACTTGGCAATAACTTAGCTTGTCAGTTTTGCTGCACTTAGCGCAGTTGTTTGCACATGTGTTTGACACTTAAGATTGCATCTGATTAGTGACAGGATTGATGATAGGCATACTTCTATTTTTTTAATGCCATGTGATCTACCCACACTACATTTGCGATCAACTAGTAGCTCATGATCGTCGTATTGAGCACCCCTGGTCTAGAATCTGTTGTTTCAGAAAACTCTTGAGACAATCACACCGGAGTTTTCCCTGGGGAAACTCTCACAGTCACAAGAATGAGACAAAAGAAAAGAAGGATGAGGAATGGGTTGATGCCCCATCAGTGTTAAGTCTACCCAAGAACAGTACAAGATGAACAGCACACATCCCGAAAAGTTCTCCCTCCCCAACCTTCCTGATTCTTAATGTAAGTTTTATTTCCAGAACACCTAGGAAGGTGTTGGTTGTTCTAGCAGGCTGAGCGGAAAGGATGAAGAAAGATAACTCCTACATGTTCTCACTCTGAAGACACTTTTAGGTTCTCTCTCTCTTTCTGTGTGTGTGTGTGTGTGTGTGTGTGTGTGTGTGTGTCTTTCGTCTGTCTGCATCAATCTCTTTATCTCCGGGTCACCTCTGTAGGTTGCTGGTTAGAAAGATGTGTGTAGAGCACTGAAGATGGTTTTTGAACGGATTAAAAGCATCAGATGGAGTCAGGGCTCTATCTGCAGGCTGCAGCTTTCTGCAGAACAAGTGCCTTTCCTCCTATTGATTTGAGCTTGAAAGTAGCAAACTGATAATCCGGGTTTTATCTGGGCGCAAGACGGCAGCCATAGCAGACTCTTTAAACCCACAGTGCTGACTTTTCACAACATACAATCTAGTCTGACCTCACTAGGAGGGTTTGGAGTGTTGATCAGAGCCTATATCCATCACCCTGGTCTAAGCCAGCCTTTTTCCTCTACAACATGTGAGGCAGCAGTGAAAGACAATACTATGAATGGAATGCAAATTAAAATTATTACTGTCCTTTGTAATGCTGACCTAACTTGTGTCTCTATTCCTGATGGTAGCCACCAAATAAGTCTGGTGCCTGTAGGTATGCTGTGTGACCCATTGTCTAATTCTGTCTACGTCCTGTTCTACCTTCCCTGTATTGTTTATCTATGAGCCACACGAAGTGTTGACTAGTGCACAGACTCTACCTTGCGGGGCTCGTAAAAATGAAGTCCAAAGCCACAGGAACGCTTTGGCCAAAGAGCTCAAGGATCAATGTTGGGCTCCCACAACCTCAGCAGCTTTGTCTGCTATTTGATCCATGGTGATTGATAAAATGCTCAAAGACAGTTACAATTCAACTATAATATAACTCAGAATTAAAACTCTCAAAAATGACCAACCTCAACCTGAGTGTTGGACTAAAGTGTTTCCTTCTCTCATTTTACAACATGCCATACTACAGTTTCAATTCATTTGTCCTAAATGTCCCGGTATCTCCCATGTAAATCCCAAGGAAAAGCCTGGCACATTGCTACAAAACACCTATTTTCCCAGAAAGACAAGTGCGGATATTGTTTTAGTGACTGCGTGTCATATAAGTAATTTAGCTAGACTCCAAGTGAGATTAAAACATATAGAGGTAGATTATTGAAGGGGAGTCCATAATTTAACCTTAATCACATGAAGTCAAAGCTTGCAAAAGTTTAAAGTGGGAGGCAGAATCAAATGATAGCTTTTAAAGGGGGTTCTTGTGGCAAAACCAACATGGTATTATATTTCCAGCACTTGCCACAGACTGACAGTCCAACCGACACATTCTTAATGCAAGCATTGATCCCCCAGGCAAAAGGTCCCTAGATAGGGAGTTAACCTCATTTTAAATGAAAAGATATAACAAGCAGACGATATGGAGAAAAGCAAATTGCACTTTCAGGTAAATTGTCCATCAGAGGGGAGGCTGACCTTGCCTGATTCAGAAGGGCACCTAAATTCCAGGTTCAGTCCTCTAGCTGATTTTACCACTCACCCAGCACTTGGCCTTCTTTAGCTATGAAAAATGTACCTAGGATTTTTTTTTTAAAGACCATTTTATTGGGAGTTCTAACAATTTTTGTCATAATCCATACATCAATTGTATCAGACAAACTGTACCTAGGTTTTTATGCTAGTTAAATTTGCAGCATTTTAGACTTTTTGTACTTACTAAAACAAACTTAACTTGCAGGACTGGGCAGAAGATAAGGATTATAAGAACAGGTAGCAAACGGATGATACACCTAAGTTGCCGGTTACTTTGCAACCTTGGAAGTAATAGAAATCCAAATGGAATGCAATGACTTTAGAGAGGATTTTGGAATATACTTGTTTCTGCCTGCAGTAGGTGTCTCAGCTTTAAATTTAAAGAAGTATTTTAGCTCTTTTCATCTATAAGGAGCAGGTTTAATGATAAACAGGCAAAGGTCTGGTAATAGAATCTTTTAATGATTAAAAAATAGTAAAAAGAACTTCAAAACAGTAAAATGAGAAAGTATACCGCTGCAGGGCTGTCTTTAATATGGCACAGCTAATCTTCAATGTATATTTGAAAAAGGCACCATATGTAAACAAGGTAAAAGAAAGCAATAAACCATAACCAAGTCATTTTCCCCAACCTTTTTTTAAACGGTGTTTAAGGCAGGTGCTTTCCTGTGCAAAATACAGTGGAGAAAATCAATAGTAAATATATCCCATGTGGACACAAGCTCAGGGTTTTTTTTTCGATACCGTTTTGTCAGTATATGTATGACAAAGCATCCTAAAACAGTTTGTCCCCAACAAAGCTTAAAGAAGTTAGTGGACAATTGTTAGACGTGAGAGGTTTCATTGCGGACTCCTCAGAGAAGACGTAAGAAAATCAATTTTTCTTTCTTGATTCTTCTTTTAGAAATGTCCATATCAACTTGTTCACTATGTCAGGTTGGTCTTGTTGAAGCCAATGGCTGGCTTCTGACAGAATGGTTAGCCTAAAATAGTTTTTAACATAAATCTTTGTGAATTCAGCCATCTCAACCTCCATAAATGCATCTCTCTCTCCCCACAGTAGTAGTGTTGGAGTGGTCACCATGTGATGTTTGAGAGGCAGGCAGCTATAAAAACAAAACATATAAGCTTGAGATGCATTGCAAAATTTAAAATAATCACCTTTCCCCATAATGATCCATTAAGCTATGCATTCTCAATGAAGCAATATAGCCTTTAAGGGTGTGAAAAATTGTTCTTGGAAAGGTAATAACATTTTACTCTTTTTATATGTAAAACATGGACAGCATAGACAGATATATAGACATAGACAGCATGTCTGTAGTGTTAAATTTTCATAGGGTGAGGATGATTAGGAGGGGGGGAAAGTCCTACATTAGAGACTGTGTTAGGCAATCAACTCATGAAAAAAAATGTATAGGCTCTATTAGAAAAGGTCCAGGAAAATGTTTAATCAGAGGAGGCGAGCAGCATTGAAAGAAGCCCTGGGAGCACGGTGGTTAAAACGGTTGGCTACTAACTGAAAGGTTGACTGTTTTAACCCACCAGCAACTCTACAGCAAAAAGATGTGATAGTTGGCTTCTTAAAACACACACAGCTTTAGAGACCCCAGAGGGGGTAGTCCTACTCTGTGCCATAGGGGCACTGTGAGTTGGAGTTAACTGGATAGCAGTCTAGTATGAATAAAATTGATAGGAAAGCTATAAGTGAAACATGACATTTATCACTATTAGGAATAATTTACTTTAAAAGCATACCAGAATAAAAGATTTTAACTGAATTACTAAAGATACCTTATACTATTTATTAGATAATCTAATGGATTTTATGTGAAAATTAGAATTATAAAGTAAAAATATATATGAACTGCAATTTAATATTACGTGATATATTTATTCACAATAAGTATTTTCTTAAATGTAGAAAAGCATAAACAATAAAAATTAAATCATGCACAGTCCATCATCGAAAGATAACCTTTTGGTCCTTGTTATGCCTATAATTGAACTCATATAATGCAATACATCTATCTCTTTACATATATACATATGGTAGATACATAATACATAGCCAATTTTCCTTTATATTATATTTTGAGAATGTTCTCATTTCATAATACTTCTTAAATTATTACAGAAGATGCTATTGCGTGATATAAAAACAAAAAAAAAACCCTCATTGTCCTCAATTTCCACTCATAGAGCCCCTTTAGGGCAGAGTAGAATTGCCCCATAGAGTTTCCAAGGCTGTCATCTTTATGAGCACAGACTGCCCCACATCTTTCTTCCATGATGGCTGGTGCAGTTGAACCACTGACCTTTCAGCAGCTGAGAGCTTTAACCACTGTGCCACCAAGGCTTCTAAATTTTATGCCCTAGTAACCTATTGATGACTTAATTATTCTCCTATAATTGACCAGTTAGGTTTTCTGGTGTCTTCCCTTGTTTTAAGTAATGCTCTACAGTTGACCTTGAACAACATGGGTTAGAACTGCATGGACCTACTTATAAGACTACTTGTATTTATTTATTTTTCTATTGTTATTTCCATGAGCTCACAAAGAGAAGATTAGCATCAGACAGCATTTTAAAGAGATACTTGCAATAATTGAGCTCACCATACCGGCAACAGGAAAAAAATCCATAAGTGGGCCTTGCTATTCAAACCATGTAGTTCAAGAGTCCACTATAAATTGTACGTGAATTTTTGATTGGGTGGGAAGTCAGTGTTCCAATCCCCACATTGTGGAAGGATCAATTGTAATGTGCATTTTTTGCTTAAATCTTAACTGGCATTTCAGATAATTTCCTTGGACCAAGTTGAGGAAGTGGAGTTTCCTCAGCTAAAGGGTATACATATTTTTAAAACCTTTGGCATCATTTGTTTTGCTGAAATGTGGCATGCTATTAATTACACGTTTATGGGCTAAGAATTAGAATGAACATCTAACCAGATAACTTGAGTACTGGGCCGCATTTTTGGTGGTTATCAGAAGAAGGCTTGCCATGTGGCTACTTGAAGTTAATAAGATGCTGCTGGAAATATGCAGGATGTCACACACAACCATCAAGGACTTAACCTTTGACCCTCAGTTGCTTGTGATGCTCCTAAAAAGTAAGTTCTTTGTGAATGAGTTATGTTGTCTTGTTAGGTGCTGTTGGGTCAGTTCCAATTCATAGTGACTCGATGTGCACTGTAACGAAACACCCCCCAGTCCTTCACCGTCCTCACAATTGTGTTTTCATTTTTATTAGGGCTCATACAACTCTTATCACAATCCATACATATGTCAATTGTGTGAAGCACACTTATACATTCATTGCCCTCGTCATTCTCAAAACATTTTGCTCTCCACTTAAGCCCCTGGCATCAGCTCCTCGTTTTTCCCCTCCCTCCCTGCTCTCCCCTTCCTCATGAACCCTTGATGATTGATAAATTATTATTTTGTCCTCACAATTGTTCTTAAGCTTGAGTCCGTTGTAGCGGCCACTGGGTCAGTCTATCCTGTTGAGGGTCTTCTTTGCTTCACTGCCCTCTCCAGGGCCTGGGCTCTCCTGACAGCATGTCCACAGTGCAGGAGAGGAAGGCTCGCTGGCCTTGCCTCATGGAAACACTCCGGCCATACTTCTCCCAAGACAGATTTGTTTGTTCTTTTGGCAGTCCATGGTACTTTCAATCACAAGATATGCATCTGAAAGTTGGGTACTACAAAAGGGGGCAGACTGAAAGAGAATCGATGCATTTGCATTATGATCTTGGTGAAGAACAGTGAAAGTACCATGGGCTGCCAAAAGAACAAACATACCTGTCTTAGAAGTAGTGCAGCCGGAATGCTCCAGAGGCAAGGAGAGTGAGAGTTATTTTACAGACTTCAGACATGTTGTCAAGAAAGACCAGTCCCTGGAGAAAGACATCATGCTTGGTAAATTCGCCGGGCAGTGATAAAGAGGAAGACCTTTGACAAGATGGATTGACCTTGCGACTGCATCAATGGACTCAAACATAGTAGCAATTTTGAGAATGGCACAGGACTGTGCAATGTTTCCTTCAGTTGTACACAAGGTCATTATAGGTCAAAACCAACCTGACACCTAACCACAACATCCTAACTACAACATCGATCGTCTGCAAGCTTTGAGAGGTCAGGGACCTGGTCTAGTTTTACTCTTTACTCATTTCCTGAGTGCTACTGTAGTCTAGAACACTGTTCCTCTGAGCGGGCGATACCACTCTAGGAGGGCTGCAAATGCAGATACCTACACTTTATCGGTGATTTGGGGTTGTAGTACAAAATTTTTTAATTGCCTGGAGTGGATGGGGTGCTGAATAGTTTCTTTTTTTTTCCTGAAAAGGGGGCAGTAGGCCAAATAAATTTGGGAACCTATGGTCCAGACCAGGGGTCATTGGCAAACTTTTGAGATGGAAGAGCTAATGCTGTCCCTTACAACAATTTAAAAGTTAAGTAGACGCCATAAACATATTTTTACAAACAGTTACCATTATCTAAATAATATCTTTAATTTTTTTCAATTCAACCTCAGAGTCCCAGATGCATACCAAAGCAGCCACATATATAGCTCAAGGGCCACAGTTTTGCAACCCTTCATTTAGACCAGTGGCTCTCAACCTGCAGGCCGAACAACCCTTTGGTGGTCGAACAACCCTTTCACAGGGATTGCCCAATTCATAACAGTAGCAAAATTACAGTTATGAAGTAGCAACAAAAATAATTTTATGGTTGAGGGGGTCACCACAACAAGAGGAACTGTATTAAAGGGTCGCGGCATTAGGAAGGTTGAGAACCACTGGCTTAGACCATAGAAAACACGGAGGAACATTTGTTATATTAATGAATGGCCACTTGAAAATATCTCTAAAAATCTACATCTACTATTATTGTGTACATAGTAATCGAAAGGGAGTAAAGAAGTAGAGTTAAGTATGAAACAAACGAAAGCTACATGGGTGGTGTAGTATACTATTTTACCAGTCCATTTGATATACTCCTAACAATGATTTTGCAAGTTACTAGAGTACTTTCTTTTAGTCTTTGGATAAGAGGGAAACTTAATCTTACAAATATCCGCTCTTTACAATTATACTCACCTGAAGATATTTCTGTAGTAGTTAATGGGGCCACTTAATGCTCCAGGCTGAGAAAAAACATAAATATAAGCTTCAAGGTCTTCTCTTGTTAACCGGCATCCTTTTCTTCCAATGCCAGTACTGTGACTGGTAAAGAGATATTTCAAAGCCTAATTTAAATGAAAAAGGAACAATTGTGAGGTGCAATTGCTTAACTATGACTCGTCCATGCATTTCTCTGTAACTCCCACCAACTAAAGCCTTTTGAAAGGGGATGGGGCACAGTAGGTAGTAACAGCTCTTAATTTCTGCCCTAGCGAGGATGAGTGATCACTGTTTTAAAGCATATTTATGTTTTCCTGACTTTATTTTTATATTCTTCTAATCTTCCATGAACGTTTCACCTTTGTGAAAAGCATTGTTTCTCCCTGCCTATTCAAGTCCCACAAGGGCCAGCTCCAGTGCTACTCCTGCCCTCAAACTGGAAAGCCAAACCCTTGTTGTCCAGTCGATTCTGACCCATCGCAGACCTCTCGACGGAGGGGAACTCCTCCATAGGGCTCCCAGGCTGCAGTCTTTACAGAAGCAGGCTGCCTTGTCTTTATCACAGCGAGGCTGTTGAGTTCACACTACTGACCATTAGGTTAGCAGCTGAGCACTTCATCACTGCGTCACCAGGCCTCTCCCACCTGAAGTCTTCCCTAATATTCCAACTTAGCAATAGTTTCTTCATTTTCTTACAACCAACCCCCCCCCCTGCCAAAAAAGTTGTTTTTGTGTTTCTTTTGTCTCAGTAATTTTCAAACCTTTTGAGCTCAATCCCAAGTAAACAAATTTTACATGAAGATCCATTTCACACCCACATACATATTCCTATATGTAACTGAAACAGCTACTTTTAACTATCGTGCATGCTAATTAATGTATTTTATTCAATTCTGTTGTGCTTCAATTTTTAAAATTTGAATTGCAAGCACTACTGTATTTTTACAAATAGCACACCTAGGTAAATAGCATGCACTACACACACACAATAACGCACACAGGTAACATAGAAACCATGAAGTTGTAATTTTTACATTCTAGCATAATACACCAATAAATATACTGCTCATGTCTCGTGACCGTTCAAGAGTGAGTTTTAGCTTCATTTGCCCCATTTCAATAGTCAAAACATGTTACTTTTGATCATATGTGTATAGAGAGGTATAAGGTATAGTCACGAAGTCCTAGTTTGAAATTGACATAAAAATCACACATTTGAAACTGTGTGCACTTTAGGGCATTTGGAGGCTAGTTCTGAGAGCAGTGGTATTCCTTGTAGCCATCTGCGCGCATGTACATTGGGTAGGAGATGGGCCAAGGGCGGGGTGGAGAGCTGCAAGTGGGCTGCCATAACCCCAGCATGAGCTGGTCCGGTGGTGGGTGGAGGCCACTGTACATGCCTGGGTCCTGTGGTACTGGCCCTACATGACGTTGGGCAACAGGATGGCATGGATTTGGGTAGACACTGCTCCAACCCCTTGGAGCTCCTGGTGGTCAGTCAGACCTGTCTTATCCAAGCGAAGGACAAGTGACCCCTTGGAGCCTGCAGATGGCAGCCTGCTCTGTGACATCCATGCCGGCAGTGTGTTTCAAATGACTCCAGTGTAATGGATGACCAGCTGGACAGGAAGGGAGAAAGAGTGTGGTTACCAGTGCCAATCTCACCTGCTTGAGTGGTCTCTGTGGCATGGGGTACAGACTTGTGTCTCTTGGGCTGGGGCCAGCCACCCTGGTGAGGGCTGTAACTGGGGCAGAAAAGGTATTATCTCTCTACACTGGAGAAAGCGATTTGCGGCACATGGAAGGACTCCCGTTAGGAGAGAGGCTGCTTTGCAAACTTGAGGGTAGGCTGGTGAGCATCTGCTGCTAGGAGCCAACCCCCGCATCAATAAGCACAAGATGAAGAGCCGATATTAAATTCACTAGACAGAAAACAGTTTGAAGTTCATAAGATATTAAAAATATTAGTGTAGTCCCCTTATGAAAATAATGCACAGGGAGATTGTATGATGTGCAAAAACATATGGTGCAGGCTTTTTGTGGGGGGGCGGGGGGTGGGTAGTCGGCATAAAATACAGCAATTTGATTGCATGATTCATTGGCGGGTCAACATACACAATTTGAAAAGCACTGCTCTTTATCAGCATTTCTCAAAGTATGAATTTAAACCATATGCATCTGAATCATTAGGATGCTTGTTTAAAACGCAGATCCTTCCACCCAAAAATACACGTGCAAAAATATGAATTGACATATATGAGGTAATGGCAACATTATTTGTAATAAGATGACTGGGAACAAGCAAATGCCTATCAGTGAGGGGCTGGCTGGATAAATTATAGCATAGTATACATAATAGGAGCCGCTGGGTGTACTAACTCAGAGAGAGTTGCTCGATGCTCGCCTAGTGGGAAAAAAACATGCATACTATGAAAGCTCTGTCCAGAGGGAGTTTTCCAATTGTGTGTGTGTGTGTGTGTGTTTGTAAGTACAAGGGGACTTTTAAAAATTCACAGAAACAATGGAAATAAAAGATAATACTTTTTTCCATGAACTTTAAAAAAATACATCTTACTGTGAATTAGGTGAAAGTAAAGTGTAGACCCTCGCTTTTACATTCAGTCATTCGTACACATTTCCACTCCGCTGTCACCATCCCCGCATTGTGCCCTCACTTCCAGCACTCCTTTCTTGTCTCCTGTCTCCATTCCTCTTTCTTTCCTAACCCTCTGAACCCTGTTCGTGGGTAAATGATGCCTTTTTTATTGTAAATGGTTGAGTAGTCTAACACAAGGGTAAATTCAGTTCCAGACCTGACAGGTAGCTAAGGGGAACCATCATTTTAGGGGTTTCCCTGGTCTCTATCTGGCCAGTAAGCCTGGTCTCTTATGATTTTGAGTTTGTTTCCACATTTTTCTTTAAAAAAAATCATTTTATTGGGGGCTCATACAACTCTTATCACAATCCACACATCCATCCATTGTGGCACACACATTTGTACATTTGTTGCCCTCATCATTCTCAAAACATTTTTTTTCTACTTGAGCCCTTGGTATCAGCTTTTCATTTTCCCCGTCCCTCTCTCATCCTCCCTCCCTCACGAAGCCTTTGATAATTTATAAATCATTATTATTTTTTCATGTTGTTTAAAGCCCTTCCCTACCACACAAGTGTGAACTGACGATGTTTATTTCTTCTTGTATTAACAATTGTCCACCTGGGAGTTCAGTACCCTAGTCTGTGGACAGCAAGGTCAATTGGCATAAGACAGCTGCGGCCTTCACATTTCATAAGCCACCATCTAAGATGCAGCTATCGGTCTCATCTTATCCGGAAAAAGAGGGAGTGACAAATATCAAAAGACATGCAGAAACACTAAGTTCCATGAACGCCCACCACACAACCAGATAGCCACCAGTCTCCACAACTCTGACCAGAAGCACTAGACGGTGCCCGGCCACCACTACCAACTGCTCTGAAAAGTATCAGGGGCAGGGTGGGAGAAGATGTGGAAGAGAACTCAAAATCATAAAAAATAAAAGAAACCAGACTATCTGATCAGGTACAGACCGATAGAACCCACAAGACTATTATTCTCAGTCACCCTCAATTTCTGAATTGAAATCAGCCATCTAAGATCACAATGGCAGCATTTCCCCAAGGACGAGGCTCAGAGGGAGGGAAGAAGGGGGAATGAAGATGGGAGACACAGGGAAGGAGCCAAACAAGTGACGGTACATCGAGAGGAGGGCAGTGCATGAGCTGAAAGAAGATGTGTTTGAGTTGTTGAATGTCAAACTGATAATCTGCTCTGTAAATCACCTAATTCACAAGAAGAAAATAAAAATGTGGGTCCAAACTCTGTCCAATGGAAAGATCTGGAAGCAACAGCAACCCCATAACAGTGATCACCTGACAAGTTGAGTATGGTCTCAAAATGTGATTTTCTACTTAAAGGAGCCAGATCTAGGGCAGGAAATAAAGGGTATTGTTTGTGTACCACTGAATCAATTCTGACTCATGGCGATCCCCTGTGTGTAGTGGAATTGCCTCACAGTGTTTCCAAGGCTGTGGTCCTTTGGAAGTAGATCACCAGGCCTGTCTCCTTATTTGCCTCTGGATGAGTTTGAATTGCCAACCTTTCAGCCTTTCATGTATTTGATTTAAAATATTCCAATAAAAAAAAGATGGGGGTCTTTCAACTTTGACAGTAGTAGTCAAGCACTTAATTATGATCATCAGGGATTCTAGCAATAAAAGATAAACCTGAGATATTAAGGAAGTAATAAGGAGCGCATATTAAAAGCACATCAGACAACTAGAAAGGGTTTCTACTTACCTAACATGAGGCAATATGGGTATCAAAAAGAATGACTATAGTTGTTACACATAAAATATTTTTTTGAATCATGAGCTCACAGTGATATACAAAACAAAGAGAAACCTCAAGTTATCATGGGAGATTTGGAGGGCACTGACTCACTGTTTTAAAGTTGTTTCACAAGGGGAAAGCAATTATCCTGTGTTTCTTATGTGATAAGGGTTTCAGAATAGTCAAGCTATAGTATGAATAGTCAAGTATAGTATAGTAGCTATAGAAATGTTCTTTATAGAAAATTTCCAGTTAATTAAAGCAGAAATAATGAGAAAATCACCATTTTGCATACCTTAATGAAATAATGGATCTGGGAAATGATTATCAATAGATGCAAAAGTTATTTAATGAAAAGTTGTTATGAAATTTGGATAGGCTGACATCTTGTAAGTCAGTGATTGGTGTTAGCATCACTAAATACTAGGATGGCTAGATATTGTGTGCTTTCTCATGCGATAGGAAGTACATTGTATCACCTAATATGTATTCTTGCCAAATGAAAACTGAATCTAATTAGTCCTCTAGATCAGCAATGCCTATGAAGTAAGAAAATTAGGAGTTAACGATGCAAGTTCAATATTACAACAATGAAACAACCACCAAATCCAGAATGCAGATCATTCCTCAGGGTATATGACCAAAGTTCTTCAATAAATAAAAGGTGGTAAGAACAGAAGGGGGAAAGAAGGAAGGACTAATATAGATTTAAAAAGCTATAACAACAAAATACTCCTACAATATGTGGACATTGCTTGGGTCCAGATTCAAGCAAGTCAACTATATACCCTGTTTCCCCGAAAATAAGACCTATTTACATTTTTGCCTCTAGCTGAAATATAAGGCATCCCCCTGAAAATAAGACCTCCCCGAAAATAAGGCCCCCTGTAGCTACCATAACGCTGGACTCTGGACCGTAGCGGTGGGCGCTGCTGTGCAGCTCACTGTTGGCCACAGTGCAGCCGGAGCAGACAGGAAGTGCAAGGTCTCTTTTAATAAAACAATAAATGTGTGCCATATTTTCTTCATGGAAAAATAAGACATCCCCTGAAAATAAGACCTAGTGCATCTTTGGGAGGAAAAATTAATATAAGACACTGTCTTATTTTCGGGGAAACAGGGTATATAGGGAATTGAGAAAGTTAAGGACATTTGAATATTAGATAGGTATTAAATTATATTAGTGAGTTATAAGGAATTATTTGTTTTCTTAGGTTCAAAATGGCATCATAGTTCTCACCTTCCCGACACAACCGCTGAAGACAAAGCGGGTGAATAAGCAAATGTGGTGAAGTGTGGGAGTCTGCACGTCCCTCAGCCCATGGCCTGCGCGGTCCGCTGTCTTTAAGCTTCCCATTCCCGGATGTTCCCTGGCCTATTGTCCTGCCTGAGTTTGGCCTTTGTGATGATTGGTGCTCGGTGGCAGGCAGCCGCCATGCTCATTGGACACCTCTGCCAGGCATCCAAGTACACCTCATTTGCATGTGGACCGTCCAAGTGCACCTCATTTGCATGCGGACCTGTTTGAGGACTGATGCCTGCCATTTCTTCCATATTGTAGCTGCATGATTATTGGATACTTGTAATGTTACCCGCCCACCATTGGGTATTTAAGCCTCTGCCTTCTGCTCAATAAACGAGGCTTGATCAGACTCCTGTCTTGCCTCCATTTCTCGCGTCTCTTGCCCCTCTTCATTCC